GGTAAGACTAGGGAACCAGCCACCCCCAAAACTGACTATTCCCATCCCCACCCCATGCATGACAAAACCAGGTCTTCAGTTTTTTTCTGGTCTGAAAGGGAGGGGGCCAACCTCACTTCTGGGGGAAGGGTGTTCCAAAGGGCAGGGGCTGCTGCAGAGAAGGCTCGCCTCCTGGACCCCGTCAGATGAAATTCTCCTGCAGACGGGGTCCGTAGTATGCCCTCTCTGCATGACTGGGTGGGACGGGTTGATGTAACAGGGATGAGATGGTCCTTCAGGTACCCTGGACCCATGCCATGTAGAGCTTTAAAGGTGATAACCAACACCTTGAATTGGACCTGGAAGCAAACTGGCATCCAATGCAGCTTATGGAACAGAGGTGTTATATGTGCTGATCTTGATGCACCTAAAATCGTCCACGCGGCCGCATTCTGGACCAGTTGAAGCTTCCGGATACTCTACAAGGGTAGCCCCATGTACAGTGCATTACAATAGTCTTTATGGAAGATGACCAGGGCATGAGTGACTGTTTGAAGAGCCTCTTGGTCCAGGAAAGGGCGTAACTGATGGACAACACGAAGTTGCGCAAAGGCCCTCCTGGCCACGACTGCCACCTGCTCTTTGAGCAGGGGGTAAGAGTTTAAGATGATCCCCAAGTTACGTACCGGGTCTGTCTGGGGTAGTGCCACCCCATCCAGAACCAAAGATGGCAAATTCCTAGGGGCCGAGGGGCCATTAACCCACAGCCCCTCTGTCTTGCCCGGGTTCAGCTGAAGCCTGTTGTTCCCCATCCAGACCCCCACAGCCTCCAGGCACCTGGAAAGGGCAGCCACAGAATCACTTACTTCCCCTGGGATGGAGATGTATAAATGAGTATCATCAGCATATTGCATGAGTGACTGTTTGAAGAGCCTCTTGGTCCAGGAAAGGGCATAACTGATGGACAACACGAAGTTGCGCAAAGGCCCTCCTGGCCACGACTGCCACCTGCTCTTTGAGCAGGAGTCATGAGTTCAAGATGATCCCCAAGTTACGTACCGGGTCTGTCTGGGGTAGTGCCACCCCATCCAGAACCAAAGATGGCAAATTCCTAGGGGCCGAGGGGCCATTAACCCACAGCCCCTCTGTCTTGCCCGGGTTCAGCTGAAGCCTGTTGTTCCCCATCCAGACCCCCACAGCCTCCAGGCACCTGGAAAGGGCAGCCACAGAATCACTTACTTCCCCTGGGATGGAGATGTATAAATGAGTATCATCAGCATATTAATTATACCTCACCCCATGGAGATGGATGATCTCACCCAGCAGTTTCATGTAGATGTTAAAAAGGAGAGTACCGAACCCTGCAGCACACCATAAAGGAGGGGCCGCGGGCCCAATCTCTCCTCCCCTATCAACACCGACTGGGACCAGCCCTGGAGGAAGGAGGTGAACCAACACAAAACTGTGCTGCCGACCCCCAACTCCCTGAGTTAGTCCAGAAGGATACCATGGTCGATGGTATTGAAAGCCGCTGAGATGTCAAGGAGAGCCAGGATGGATGCACCACCTCCATCCTGCCCCTGCCAGAGATCATCCATAAGTGTGACCAATGCTGTTTCTGTTCCATATCCGGGTCTGAAACCTGACTGGAAGGGGTCCAGATAATCCGTATCATCCAGAATCCTCTGGAGCTGCAGTGCCACCACCTTCTCAACCCCCTTCCCAAGAAAGGGGAGGTGGGAGACTGGACGAAAATTATCCAGAACAGTAGGGTCCAACGAGGGTTTCTTG